TACTTATGGCTTCAACTTTTCTTCAAAGAGATATGGTAAAATTTAATTAAAGTCTTTCTTTTTTTATGTTTAACATTGTGTTATGTCAGGTTTAATGAATTTCATTAGTTTTGCATTCTGAACTTTCATACAAAGTGCTATTTTCTAAGTTATAGTTTGGGGTTTGGAAAGGGTTTAATTTATTTTACAGAGTTGGCAACTCTCCCGATTTAGGTGGGAGACTCCCGATTTTCGATCGTTCTCTCGCCAACCCGATTTACAATATATTTCTCCAGACTTCTTCTTATTCTTAATATTTCTCACGATTTTTATGGAACTTGGCTTAATACTTCGTTATATGAACAAAAACAAAAAGTGATTTTGGACATCTGAAAGCAACTGAATTTTCTCTAGATTATATCTAAAATAAAACCTTGTGAATCAGATGAGAATTTCTGCTTTGTGAGTGACAGCATACGTATCCAGAACATGGACCTTATAAGAGATAGACTAACCCAGTGGGCGGGGCGCGCGTCACTGACATGTTGGCAAGAAAGAGTAGGGACGATCTGGTTTACTTTAATACTGAAACCTATGGTGTTTGTATCACATAACTCTTTTTAATTATTAAATGTGATATGTTGTATAGTGATGAGATTATGAAAGCCACAGTTTTTTCCAAATAGGATTTAATATATCTCATTAAAGCACTTTTTACTGCATTTCGTGCATTTTTTTCACGCGTAATTCTTGTACAAACATCTTTACTTTGGTAAAACGGTAAAAACTCTAGACACAAAATTTATAAACTTAATTTTGCACACAAATAACGTAAAATTAAAAAAGATTGATAGTACAAGATGCTTTGAAATAAATAAGATAAAATTAAACAAGATCTGATAACTTTTTTTTTTAAATTTAATGACCATTTTCAGGCAATGATTTTCAAAACTATAATAACATTACAAAACAGTAAATTATTTGATTTATATCATCATTAACTTATTAACATTAAAGTGGAATATTTATTTTAGTAATTTATAAAATTCGGAGCATAAAATTTTCTGAGTGTAATGAAGCGGAAAAAAATGGTAAAATAAAATCTAGAAGCATTAAGATAATCACATTACGCCCAAAAGAAACCTTTTTTTAACGTTTTGTATGTTACCTATTTTTATTAAATATCATGTTCTTCACCCGTAAACCACATACATTTGAAAACAGCATATCTTTAGAATTTCCGCACTGGAGATAAAACTTATTTTCCGGACAGTGCTCTCTCTGAACTCATTGAGTTTGTTAATCAAAAATTTGTTAAAGTTTTACAAAATAGGAAATAGATTAACCCTCTGAGTGGCACAGGATTTTAGATCCGTCATGAAGACCAGTATTTAAACAGCATTTATTATTTCAGTTTGTATAATTACTTATTTTCATCTGCATTTTCATAAACTTACATTCTTTAAGATGATATTTACATTATAAAAGAAAGTAGGAAAGCAAAATGTCTTAAATTATAAGCTAATATATACCAAGTAGCAAAACTTCTGATGACCAGATAAACCCGGTCACAACGCTCTGAGGGTTAAAACAAATTCAAAATTCAGCCGTCCAGATGCCCATGTTCGGGTGGAGGATTACATTATTCAAAATTTGATGGCTCTAGATACTGTCGTTTTTGTCAGATTGCAAGAACCATACATGTATTCATGCAGATTCTTCATTATTTAATTTCTTTACATATAATACAGGGCGATAATATTTGGTAACAACAATTTGCAAGAGACACGGACATTTATAGTAAAACAGTGCAAAATGCCGCTTCGAAACTAACAGCCTTTCTAGGCTACCGCCCCTTTAAGCTAATAAATTAAATTAACAGTAAATAAAAAAAATCTTATGCAGAACAAAAAATAAATTAAAAAAAATAATCACTATAAAATCCAAGCAAAATTAATTATTACGGTTAAATACAATTTTAATATTAGAATTAAATGTATAAACATTTTTAAGAAGTCAAATGTGTTTATCACTATGATGTATTATGAAATATAATTGAAATAAAATTCCTTAATAGAAATTGTGCTATAATACTCGTCTATAATTTAAAAAAAGCAGCACAATTTAGAATTTTAAAAACACAACTTTCAAGAATTCGTTTTTAAATATTTTAGTATTTTTTTACTTATTTACACCAATAAAAAGCATAAAAATTGTAAGAGAAAATTGATTATTTGAAATTTTCTATTAGTTCAGATTTAAAATATTATTTTCTAAAAGAAGTAGTTACAAATTTCCTTGCAGCATAGGGAAAGCTAAAAAATATCCAGTCCTGAAAGCATGCAATAGCTTTATAATTATTTGGAACGTTAATTATGCTTGATAAATATGCTAAATTGTTTTAATTGATCTGAGTTTCAAAAATAAAAATATGTAGAAATTCTAATTTGTGAAATGAGGCACTACATCCAGCTTTTTCTTGACAATTATACACGCTGCAATAGGCAACTGATGTTAAATTTCTGCAAGTCGTCCCTACTCCTCCGGGTGTGATGTTTGCGATGTGTACCGCCTGTCATTGCAATTTTTCGATTTCGCATAGTGGAAGGGCTGATGTTCTCAAACATGTGCGTACACAAAAACACAAGGACAACATAAGTTGTTTTGAAAGAAACGAAAAATTAAATTTTTCTACGGAAACAAAAGACCAACAAGTCATTGATGCAGAATGTCTGTTCTCTGCCTTTTTACTGGAGCACAACCTGCCACTGAATGCATCGGATCACGCTGCAGCTTTATTTAGAAAAATGTTTCCCGATAGTGAAATTGCTAAGAAATACTCAAGTGCAAGGACCAAAACAGGTGCAATTGTTAAAGAAAGGGGTTTGAAAAATAAATCTTCAGTTATTGATTGCATTAAAACAGTTCCGTTATGCCTCTCTATGGATGGAAGCAATAATACCAATTCAAAACTGTATCCAATTGTTGTTTCTTTTTTTAATCCAGATTCTTCAGAAACTGAGTGCAGTTTACTTTCTGCCCCCACTTTAGAAGGACATTCGACAGGCTTTAATATAGCACAGCTAATTATTAAAACTTTAAAAGAAAATGCAGTCCCTCTGGATAATTGCTTAGCACTTGGTGCCGATAATGCACCAGTAATGGTAAGCTTGAAGGCTGGTGTTGCAGACATCTTAAGAAAGGCAAATTCAGATTTGCAGATTATGAGGTGCACCTGTCACCTCTTAAATTTAGCAGCTGAAAAAGGGCTTATCTTCTTTACCAATAAATGTGGATGAACACATTGTTGATATTTAATATTATCTTGAAAGGTGTTCTAAAAGAAAGGAAAAAATGAAACAGTTCCAACAGCTGCATAATACTGAAATGAGAAAAATTTTGAAATGTGTGTACACGCTGGCTGTCTTTAAAGAAATGCTTATCTAGAAACCTCGATCAATGGAACCCACTTCTTGCATTTTTTAGAGAAGTAAATGCCTCGAGAGTTAAGATAAAAGGCTCTATTGAAAGTTATAAAGTACCTAAAGTAAAGAGATGTAGTTACTACTTCCATTGTTAAAAATAGGTTTGAGAAAAATAAAGTAATTTCTGCATCATTCAGCAATTCAACTGGCAGTTCTCAAAATAATACTGCAAAATTAAGCGTAAAGCTGATACAAATTTCTCTCAAAATAAAAAAATTGCTCAACACACGAAACATTTTCCGATTACTGTAAGTTTATCTTGTGAAGAACGAATATTTATATTTTTTTCTTCGGACTTTAACAAAGCTTTTTGCTTTTTAATACAATTCATTTTGCCATCATTTGATGTCCTTAACAAAATTCTACAAAGCACAATTCCATTAATTCATGTTTTGCAATCAATTATTTATGATCTGTTTAAAGGCTTTTTATCAAAGTTTGTAAAACCAGTCTGTGTTTTGTCTTGTAATTCTATATATGATGTGATTTAAGGTGAAATAAAAAATCAAAAGAAAGATGAAGATTTGGTAATAGGAGCTGCAACTACAAAAGTAGTGGAAGAACTTTCAGAAGACAAAAATAAGTTTTATCTTCATGTTAGAAGTTTCTTCTGTCGAGTATGTGATTACATACTACATAAATTTCCAGTCAACGATGAAGTGATTTTGCATGCTAAACTTTGTGATGTTTCTGCTCTAGCAAATGCATCTTTTTCTGATATAAGGTACTTTTTGAACAGATTTCCTGTGCTACTTCGTTTAGTCATGAAAGATGATATTGATGTTGCTACTGATATACTGCAATCGCAATTTTGCAGTTTACAATTAGAAAACTTGGATGTAGTTATAAAATCAGCTAGGATTGACACCCAGTGGAGTTTAATTGGAAAACTGAAAGGTGCTGATGGAATTTTAAAATATAGTCAACTGTCTAGAATTATGTTGGCCATCTTGACAGTTCCCCATAGTAATGCAAAGTGTGAGAGGATTTTCAGTGTTGTTGCGAAAACGAGGACTAAATTTAGATCTAATATTAGTGATGACACATTAAAAAAACTTTTATTAGCAAAAGCAGGCCTATGTGGCAATTGCTATGAACAAAATTATGAAGTTTCTTTCTTAACGAAAGCAAAATCTGCCACCGTTCATAACATTTGTATGAAAACTGAATAAAGTGTCTTTTTTTTTTTAAACGATGCAAGTAATAAAAATGTTTTTTATGTCTAAGGTATTTTTGAACTATTTTAAGTTGATTCATTATTAAAAGCTATATTTTTATCATTTAAAAAGTCTTTTTAACATTGTGAAAAATCTCCTGATTTCTTAAAAAAATCTCCTGATTTTTGAGTGTCATAGGTTGGCAAGTATGATTTTAGATTAATTTCGATAGGAAAAATTGCTTTGGTTTACAAATATTTTGGATGATGAACTATCTTCATGAAAGAATTAAGTTCATAACCAAGGTTTTACTATATTATGTTTGTATGTAAAATATATTTTGCTTTGAAAATTTATTTATATTATAAATGTATTTTAGGATTATTTGCTGGAAGGCCTGCTGACTATTTGTTTTTGCTTCTCTTCAACTGGGTGACTCTTGTTGTATCCTTTTGTTTTTTTCATAAGGAACTCATAGTATTTAAAGGATATTTAATTTTTATTCTTTTAGTCATAATTTAACATTATTGATGAATATATAGATTAAAATTTACCTGGTTTTTTTTTTTTTTTTTTTTTTTTTTTTTTTTTTTTTTTTTTTTTAAGTATTAAAAGCTATTTAAAACTTTTCTGTATTAAAGAAGTTTAAAATTTCTTTTCCTTCTTAAAGCAATTACTGCAGTTTGGCAATCTTAATTGTAATATATTTATAGTGGGCGACTTATTAGCATAAAATAAGCCCTGCATTTAGCCATCAAAATTGGCATGCAATGCCTTCTACTTATTTTTGTTTAAAAATTTATCTTATATATATGTACATATGTATACAGTCAAAAGTCTTTAATCCGGACGTCCATAATCCGGAATGATCTATAATCTGGACCTCAAAGCTGCAAACTTTCTGCGCATGTGTAAACGCACAATGAACTGGAAGTTGATCCGTCAGCACTATCCTTATCTTCAGGGCAGATGTTTTTATTCGGCTTATAATTCCTTACTAAATGTAGTATTTCATCTCGATGTACTCTGTCTTTGATATGATTTAAGTCAAATTCCTCGTCATTATAAATATCACAAAAACACATAAAATAGTTTTCTGTTTGCAATTTTCTAATTTCGACTATGTGTAATGTATGCTTTATGCATGCGCGTGTTGAAAGAAATGTTTAATAAAGTAAACAAATAAATATTAAGCTTTTTTTTTGTAAATTTTGATACCCTTTAGATCATAATTGCTCTTTATTTCATAAATTACGGTTTCATATTTTTAATTGTATAATTTCTGCATGCCATCATACCAGATTTAAATTCATAATCTATAATCTGGAAAAACCGATAATCCGGAATCGCCGAAGTCTCGACAAGTCCGGATTAAAGACTTTTGACTGTATATAGTATATAATATGTATTTGGATTTGACGTCTGCTTCTTACATTGACATGATGCATTAACATTCACTTTTTTTTTTCCTTTAAATATTTTAATGGATAAAACCACATGCAGACTACAAATACATGCACAGTTTTAATAACAGCTGACAGTCTTTCATTTTTAGACTTCAATTAACTAGTTGCCTACTCTATTAAAATATTCTTCAAAATATAATTTGGTTACACAGTACTGCCATTTATTGACAGATGATCATTTAATTTTTGTCTTGCCCACATATGACCATCTCGATGATTTTTTCATCTCAGAATATTCTGCATTTAGTTTGCTGCCCACCTGTGATGATGTCGTTATGCAACCGGAACATATAGATTAAAAAATTTACCTAGTTTATATATATATATATATATATTAAAACTATTTAAAACTTTTCTGTATTAAAGAAATTTAAAATTTCTTTTCCTTCTTAAAGCAACTACTGCAGTTTGGCAATCTTAATTTTAATATGTTTATAGTGGGCGACTTATTAGCATAGGAAACATCTTTCCTGTGTTTTTCATCACAGGTCTTCTTTTTAGTTGCCATCATTCCATACCATCTTTGTCGTCATCACCATTCATACTGTGCCTATGTTTTTTGTGCTTCAACACTATTTGATGTCTTTAGCATTTTATGTGTTAATTAAATCCACTGAAGTTATGTAATTTCTTCCTGTTGATATGATTACCTTCTTCAAATATAATCTTTCATAAAATTTTGAACAATCCTCATAGATTTTACACCCTAAATAGTTTATCCTAAATAGGCTCTCTTATAATTTAAGAAATATTTATATAATAATCTTATAATTTAAGCAAAGTGTTTAAGACTGCTTAATAGAGGGAGTTTGACTTGGGTGAAATTTCTTCATTATGCTTCAGAGTCTTTCTGCATGTTTTTTTCCTATTTCAATATCATTTGGTGCCTGTAGAATTTTCTATATTAACCAAATTCTCCAAAAGTATATATTTGCTTCCTATTGTTATGATAATCTTCTTTAAATACAGTCTTGTATCAGTTTTAGCAGTTCTCATAGAAAATACACATAACTTATTTTCTCAGATGGAATCTTCTAACTTAAGAATATTTTCAAAGTACTTACATAAAAAAAAAATCTACCTTTTTTTTTCATTTAATCCAACCATTGGTTTTTTAATTTTAAATATTGTCTACATATAAAGAAAACTCTGACTAGCTCATTTCAGAAACCAAATACTTTCACTCTGAACTAAGATTTTGTCTTGAACACTCTCTTGCTTTCTGTATTTCAGTCTAGCTAGACTGCTGCTTATTGTTCCTCATACTGCAGCACCAAAAATGTAAAAATTCTAGAATTGATATGCTTACTGCACTAATTTATTTTTATTGGTTTAAAAATATGTGTCAACCAAAATATAAAGGTAAATATAAAGTTCAACCAAAATATAAAGGTAATTCAGCCATGACTTGGCTTTTTTACGCATCTACTACGCCATGAACATTTTCCAAATATATACATTGGGTTTATTAAATTAAACCAATTTGTAGACAATATCTGAGAAATTATAAATTGTATTTAACATTACTAGTAATAGTCTAGCATACGGGCATCCATGATGAATGTATCACAGCATTCAATTCTTCAGAAGTCACAAAACTGAAATAAGCCAGAAAATTTGGCTACTATCGTAATAAGAAAGTTCGCAATGTTCTTCTAATCAATCCTGCAGAAGTCTGGGCCCCACTTCTATCTGTGACTCTTACAATAAAACATTTTTCAGTCTCTCTTCACAATTCACGAAATAGCCAATGCTGCAGAAGTATTCAGCCTGCTTTGTTTTTGTGCTTTGTAGAAAAGCTTTCATTTATTTCCACTATTTTCTTAGGCCCTCTTAGCTTACCTTAAACTCTATTTAGAATGTTTTGAGTACAAATATCCTGCAGATACCGTATTTGACAGCATATAAGATGCACTTTTTTTCCTAAGTTTGGTCTCAAAAAAGTTACCTGCGTCTTATACGTGAAGGTAATTGCAGTCAATATTTGTTTATTTGGCTTTTACGAAACGTGAGAACTAAAAGAAACCACGCTATTGAAACTTTTTTTCCTTGTGTGTGGACATCTAAATAAGGGTGCATCTTATATGCCGTCCAATACGAATACGGTAGTTGTTCCAGTCTATAATTGTTTTGTCAATCATATCCAGATGTTGTTTTTCATTTTCAACAGATGTTAATTCTCTCAACCAGCTGTCAGTGAAACTGCATGCATTTACAAATGTGCTTTTACTGCCCTCATACCCAATTATTTTTTCAAAATACAATAAAAAATACAGTCATAGCAATTAATTTATATCTTTGCTCATAAAAACAAACTTACTGAGAGACAGTCTGGATTACATCAAATGAAAGCATAGATGTATGAGTGTGTTTTGACATCATGCTTATCCATAAGTGGCGCTAAATTGCACTGCTTGGGGACAGTTTCATGGTGGATGAGATAAATAAGCATTGAAGTCGGTATTGGCATTCAAATATTGTCACATAGCATAATTAATCTAGCATGCTGCCTTTGTTAAATTTTGATGATTGGCTTTCGAGTCATTGATAAATAATGGCCTTCACCTCAGTATCTGAGTGGAACCTGTAATGCTGCAATTTTTCTTCTTGCATCAGCATCTTGGGATCTGCTACATGTATACTTTGTGCTACTCCAGGCCTTTTGAAATTTTTTTTGCAGTCTCGTAACTGAGGTTGAATTGGTCCACTGCAGAATCAAATGCTCAGGTATTTGTTCCATGTGAAGATCCTCATTTACCTTTGCATCTTTTGTGGCAGCAGGCTTGGCCAGAACAAGGATAATCATTTGTTCATCTGCATTTTTTTTTAATATTCTTGCCCAGTCCATTACTGTTGTATGGCAATATTTCATTCATTTGACATTCTCAAATATTTCATTCATTTGACAAAAGACTTAAGTTAGTTGACATCCTTTACAACTGAAGAACTGTATAAGCATATTGATCTTATTTAGATGAATTGTATATGTGTGTATATAACTTCATCTTTCGATGGTTATTTATGCACAGAATAAAAAAAAAATATTGCCATGTGATTTGTACTGTACATATTCCATGATTTACCATTCCAACTAGGCATTCTTTTCACCACAGCTATTGCGGTTATGATAACCAAAACTGGGTTTAGTTGATTATACCTAAGATATGTCCACAAAAGTTTCAAATAATGCATAAAATTTCTAATCATAACAAAAAATATATATATTGAAATATATATATGATATTAAATGAAAGAGTTAAATTTTAAGGAAAATTAAGTGTATTTTCCACTGTGCTTTTTCATTCATTTTATTAGCTGTTTACTTATTGTTTTATCCACTGAAACCATCCAATATTCTCTTTTTTGTACTATTCTAAAAACTTTCCTATTACTGCCAGTTTGTGGAGTTTTATTCCAACCTCTTCTCATACAGTTTTGCTTTATTATTACATGAGACAGGTTATGCGTAACTTTCTTATATGCTTTTATGGCAGACAATAAAAAGTGCTGATGTGCTTAAAAATTGTATAATGCTAATATTTTTTTCCTTTTTTAATTTGTTTTTCAATTAGTTATGCTTGAAATTTTTTTATGTATTTTTATCAAAGTTTTACACAATGTTCTTTATGTGTCACGGCAAGTGAAACTTTCATTGTTTACAGTATGCTTTCATTACCAATTTTCCATTCTAGTATGCTTTCATTACCTTTCATTACCAATTTTCTATTCTTTTGCCTTCTAAATTCAAAAACATTAATCAATAAAAAATTATTTTATATAGCTTTTCAAGAATTTTATAATCTCTTGAAATTTTAAAGTACAGCCTCTTCTGCCCCATGGATAAATTATATGTTAAATTTACAAGGTAGTCCAGGGAATAAAGAAACTGATTCCATAAAATACATTCATTTTCAAGATATGCTTGTTTACATTTATAATTTTTCAAAAATAACATCCTTGAGTATCAATATAACATTGCCAGTGTTCTGACTTGCATCATAGTTTACCTAAAAGTCTTGAACGGGGATCTCTTTTAAATAACATGTCACATTTTAACTTCTTTTTCACATTTTAGCTTGCTTGGTTTTAACAGTCAAAAATAATGCCCTTTCAAGCTGGATTTAAGCTGGAAATAAAATGAATCAGTTGGGAACAAAGGCAGATGGTGCTCTGTTGCCACAGTTTCTTTCAACAGAAACTCTCATCCCAGCAGTAATGCATTGCATGGTGTAATGTTGTGGTGTAAAACATAGATGTTAGCAACTGTCAAGTGGATGTGTTTAACTTTGCAGGCTTATACAGTAGAACCTCAAGATAAGAGTTTAATTTGTTCCAGCATTGAGCTCGTTTAGCGAATTTCTCGTATCTAGAAACAAATTCCCCATTGAAAATGATGAAAATCCAGTTAATCCGTTCCTCACCTACAAAAATATCAACATAAAAATAAATTTTCCTGGTAAATAACACTGGTAAATAATGTAGCCATAGTTTACCTTTATGAAGAGTCCTGACTGGCAATATGGATGTGGGGAAGACAAAACGGATTACTATGGGAAAGAAGAGTCCCCTTCTGATTCAGGAAGGCTCTCTCTTCTTGAGAATTTTACCCTACCGGAAGCAGGTTCTGGGTCAGAATCACTTTCTTTTAATTGCAGCTTGCTTTACCAAAAACTTATCTAATAACACTTGCTTTTGACTCCTTTTTAAGATGCTTTTAAAATGTGACATTGTCATTGTCATTACACAAGTTCGTGTTGCACTCACACACTTTATATTAGGGGGATTTTTTTCATCTGTGATTCCTTTCTTAATTTCAATGGCTGTGGCTTCTTTCTTTTTCTTTGCAGCACTATCTGAGGAGTCATTGTAAAATAATTATCTTCACATTAAATGTAAAAAAAAATTAACTCACAATCACACAAACACATAGCTCAAAGAACACTGAGTGATCAGATGAGCGAATTCCCCGAGTCGAGCTGGATTAGGAAACGTGCCATGCATACCAACAGCCTGGCTTGTTGCTCAAGTGTCAATGCTCGTATTTAGAGATGAATGTTTCTTTCATAGTTTCCTCGTATCTCGAATTTCTCGTATATAGAGGTGCTCTTATCTCGAGGTTCCACTATACTTGTTTGGAAGGAGATTCTATTAGACAAGAATTTTGGGACTTATTTATATTGCAACTACGTAAGTAGAAAGTTGCCAACTTTAGGCCAGATTCTCTGGCAACCATGCTCATCACAATCCTACATTCAAGCAACATCGCCATATTTTTGTAAACAGTCTTTTTGTTGTATTCCAAGTTCCAATGTTTTTTACACACAAATCTAAATATTTTTGCCTTAAACTCAATTTAAAAATATATGCTTGGGGGATTGCCAGCAGTGAAAAAAACTGGTGAAACATTTCTGCAGGAATATAGTATTTTGCCACAAAATTGCTAAAAATAATAATAATAATAATGATATGTTTGGTAAAAGGCTGGGGCAAAGTGGCACATTTTGCAAAGTTCTAATTTTTAATTAAGCAAAAACAAATTGATGTGTATATAGGGAGGAGAATAGTGCAAAAAGTATTAGAGGATTTTGCAAAAAAAAAAAGTTATATTTTTTAATATATTACATAATTCTTATTTAATAATTAAAATTTATATTTTAAATTAGTAAAGTGTGTATCTTTTGATATGTTGATAATATTTTTCCATTTACAGTAAATATTGATAGTTTGGTAGTCATTTTAAAAAGTTCACCAGCTTGCACCCAATAAGAAACTTTTACCTTGTCATCTGTAAAAAATCTATAAATTGCACTGAGGTGATTCTGTTAATAGACAGGTACCAAATTTTGTAAATTGTACAAACAAGAATCATGCAAACTACACTAGATTAAAATATTAGTTTCATTTGGGGAGGGGTTAAGCTAGTTTCAGAGAAATGTACAATTTTTATGCTGTCACAAAATTAATATACTTATATAATTTTTTTAATAATAGCTTAATGTGAACTTTTGGTTTTTGTTCAAGTTGAGTGATCCTCCTTCCATGTAGATATACACTTTCTTGTTAATATTTCTGTTTGCATTCATCATGAAAATTCTTGTGTTTTGGTACTATACGGGACATTTTTAGGTGAGGAAATAATTTTGAAATATTTCATAGAATTATTTCATATCGTGTGTTACTAAATTTAAAAGGTGAAAACGTTTTACATTTTTACTTAACATTTAGGGACATAGTCTCGTTTCATGAAAATTAAAGAATATAATTTGTTGTAAGGCAATCAATAGAAAATTGATTATGTAGAAATATTTATGTACATTAATTTAGATAGGTTTATTTATTTTATTGCAAATTTTACAAAATCTGCTTGTTCCTTAATTTGTGCAAAGGTTTCTGGATTGATGTTAAATGTTTGGGTAAGTTTTCTAAGAATTTAAATGTCATATTTGAAAAAAAATCTGTTGTTAATTCATATTAAGTCCTATATATTTTTATGTGTTTTTGCTAATCACTGATAAGTGAGAGTATTGAATGTGTTTAGTTTGGCGGAAGGAAAGCTTGTTTTTCAGGTAAAGAGTAAAAAAGAACCTGAAGATTTTTTTTCGAAATATTAAATAAAATTGATCCTTCTGTATTATTGGTTCATTTAAGTCTTATCTACAAGTCTGCATTCAACATATTTTTCCATTAAATACCTTTTTTTGTATTCCTAACCATATTTAGTGTCAAACATAATTCTAGCATAATTTACTACTGTGTATCCCAAGTGAATCCAAATGTATCCACGTAAATTTTTAAAAATGCATCTTTTTTTTTTTTTTTTTTTTTTTTTTTTGTTTTGTTTGGATAACTTCATTTTTAATAGAAATACAAAATTTCTCTATAACTAATTCTAAGTTCGTTTTAAATTAAGTAAAAAAACGTTATTTGTTGATTAATGATGCAGTGGATGCCAAATAAAGTGATCACAGTTGATGCTATCATTTAAATATTATTATTGAATTGCCCACCTGTTTTTCCATAAAGTCCAATATGTGGAAGCATAAGAAGTGTTTCACTTGTTGTGATCAACAAGTCAGATAATATTATAAAATATTTTTTTTAAATGAAATAAAGTCAGCAAATAAAATATAAGGTTGTCAAATAAAGTCAAAAGATATTGTTACAAATTTAGTATTTAAAAAGCTAATGTTAGTTCAATTATAAATTAAATGGTGCGCGTGACGAATATTAAAAGAAAGCTAAGCCGGAAAATTGAAAATACAAGAGCGCGTGCATTAAATATCTCTTTTTGATTTCGAGAAAGTACTAGAAAATTCTAGCATGTGATTTTAAAATCTTTATAAAAAGGAGGTAGGTTTTGTTGGAGAAATCTCTTGTTGAGTAGCGAATTCACGGATTAAGCTTTTTTGTTGAATTAAGTTCTGAGTTGATTATTGGAAATTTAGCAATTGTTGTGTGATATAAATCTCTTTTTCAAATTTGGAGATTTAAAATTTTGTATGCATTTTTTGTTGTTTTAGCTTGTGGATTCAACCACGCCCACAAAGTGTGGACCGCGAATGGCTTTAGTGTACGCATGAATTCGGCAGCCCAGCAAGCCACTCGTCGAGACCGCCACCCAGTCAGAGCTGCTCAAGTGATCAAGTCACCGCTCGTCTAGACGATTTAACTAGACAACTGAACTCCTTGAGACGGAATATTGGTGAGAAGAAACCAACCGTTAAGTGCTGGAACTGCGGTGCTGAAGGACACATACGACGAAACTGCAGAACACCCCAGGGTACAGATGTTAAGACCACTCCTAACAAACAGCAGGAAAACTAATTAGTGGCTATCTCGCGGGGCGGAGGTTGCCAGATAATGAAAAGTCCCAGTTTAAAGCGTTTCAGATTTCTGCAGTGAGAGGCAGCAGTAATGGACTTTTCATAATAGGACATATTAATGGAGTTCCCTGCAATATGACGATAGATACAGCAGCCAACGTTACCATCATCCGAAAAGATTTGGCTCAACAACTGGGAAACAAACTTATCTGGACGCCGCCCTGCGTTACCCTCCAGACTGTGTCCGGTGAGAAGATCGACATAGATGGAAAAGTAAACGTTAACATCACGTTTGGAAGTGCCACTTACCATCACACTGCATATGTAGCAGAGATCACTGATTCTTGCATACTCGGATTGGACTTTCTAAGGAAATACAATTTTTCCTTGGACTTTAAAAATAACGAATTGCATTCTACATCTGAGGACATAGCCCTATTCGGAATTAATGATGGAGTGAAATCTATCCACAAGATTATAGCTCAAGATGATATCACAATACCGGCAAGAACCGAGTTTTTACTTCCTGGGTCCATAGCCGAAAATAGAAATTTCCGCTACGGCATCATAGAATATCCCAATAACTGTAATAGCCCGAAAGGAGTACTAGTAGCCTCAACACTCGTCGACCTATCCAAAACGGTTATCCTGGTGAGAGTCGCCAATGTAACTGAGAAGGCAAGAGTTATTAAGAAAGGTCAAATGTTTGCAACATGTACTCCAGTAACCAGCTTTGAAAGAAAGAGTAACATCCCAGAATCCGTGTCCTCAGAGAGCATTACATCGGAGTTATTGCAGAATGCGCAATTAAACGATAAAGAGAGGAATGCTGCCGATCGCGTCATTAAAGATCTTCAAGTTGTTTTTTTTTCTCCCGCTCGTCTTCTGACGTGGGTCGAACTAGTTTGACACAACATAGAATAGATACCGGCGATCATCCCCCGATCAAGCAACATCCAAGACGTCTACCGTTTGCTAAACAGGAAGAGGTGTGAACAGTGTTAAAAGATATGGAAGAAGGCGATGTCATCGAGCCTTCAGCAAGTCCATGGGCATCTCCCATCGTTCTCGTCAGAAAGAAAGACGGCTCAACAAGATTTTGCGTTGACTATCGCCGGTTGAATGAGGTTACGAAGAAAGACAGTTACCCTCTTCCTAGAATTGACGACATTCTAGACACTCTTTCTGGAAGCAAGTGGTTCTCAACGCTTGATTTAAAGAGTGGGTATTGGCAGGTAGAAGTACACCCTGATGACCGAGAAAAGACGGCATTTACTACGGGACAAGGGCTTTGGCAATTCAAGGTGATGCCGTTTGGACCTGCCAATACCCACTCTTTAAATCAAGCATTAAGAACCACTTGCTTCCAGAAAGAGTGTCTGGAATGTCGTCAATTCTAGGAAGAGGGTAACTGTCTTTCTTCGTAACCTCATTCAGCCGGCGATAGTGTAATGTGCCGGCAACATTCGAACGCCTCATGGAGACTGTTTTGAAAGGTCTTTCCTACGAAGCCTCTCTGATATACTTGGACGATGTCATCATCGGAAAGAGTTTTGAAGAGCATCTAGAAAATCTTAGAAAGGTGCTTCAGAAACTGAAAGAAGCCAATGAAGCTGAGTTTCGCTAAATGCAAATTGTTCCGAAAGGAAGTGACTTACCTGGAACATGTCATCTCTGCAGAAGGTGTGTGCACGGGATCCTGAAAAGGTGTCAGTCGTTAAATCCTGGAAACGTCCATCAGCTGAGAAGCTTCCTAGGGCTTTGCACCTACTATAGGAGATTCGTGAAGGACTTTTCTTCCATCGCAAGACCCCTTCACAAGCTGACAGAGAGCAAGCAAAAGTTCTTGTGGACAAAAGAATGCGAGGATGCATTTAACAACTTAAAGGAAGCTTTAACATCTGCTCCAATCCTGACGTATCCTCAGCTCGACAGACCATTTATTCTCGACACGGACGCGAGCAATGAAAGTGTCGGTGCGGTTTTGTCCCAAGAAATAGACGGCCAAGAACGTGTAGTGGCGTACTGGAGCAAGTGCCTGTCTAAACCGGAGAGGAGAGGAATTACTGTGTCACCAGGAAAGAGTTGCTCGCCATAGTCAAAGCTGTAGAACATTTCCATCATTATCTATACGGCAGAAAATTCCTCCTCCGCACGGACCATGCCTCATTGGCCTGGCTTTTAAATTTCAAGAATCCTGAGGGTCAAATAGCCAGGTGGATACAGAGACTCCAAGAATATGACATCACTATCCGTCATCGTAAGGGATCATCACACGGGAACGCCGACGCCCTGTCTAGACGACCTTGCCCAGAATGCTGCCGATATTGTTCCAGGGTGGAAGCGAAATACGAGCTGCTGACTCCGGTCGCAAGACAAATTACAACATCAACATCGGCTGATCGAGAACCGTGGAGTGATGATGAAGTCAGGAAAGACCAGCTGGAAGACCGCGACATTAAACCCATAATTGATTTAATGGAGTCATCAAACAGAAAACCTACCTGGCAGGACATTTCTATCTGTAGTCCTACAACCAAACAATATTGGGCACTCTGGGATTCACTTCACATTCGAAACGGGTGTCTTATACCGGAAATTCGAATCGGATGATGGGAAGACGTTCCGATGGCAGCTGATACTTCCAAGATCCTGCATTCCTGATGTCCTTAAAGAATTACATAACAGCCCTACAGGAGGTCACTTTAGAATAATGAATACCTTGCAGAGAGTTCGTGAGTGCTTTTACTGGAATAATGCAAAGGATGACATGCAAAAGTGGTGCTGATCTTGCGATGCCTGTTCAGGTTGGAAAGGACCAAGGAGATGCAGCCGAGGCAAGCTGCAATGTTACAACGTAGGGGCGCCTTTTGAACGTATCGCCTTTGACATCTTGGGACCTCTGCCACGAACTGCTGATGGCAACAAATACATACTCGTTGTCATTGATTACTTCACCAAGTGGCCTGAAGCGTATCCTATTCCTGATCAAGAGGCTGTTACAGTAGCTGAGGTGATGATACAGCACTGGATTTCCAGGTTCGGAGTGCCTCTTCAGTTACATTCCGATCAGGGAAGGAATTTTACCTCGGCAGTAATCAAAGAACTATGCAAACTACTCGGCATTGACAAAACCCAAACAACGCCAATTACATCCCCAGTCGGACGGCATAGTAGAGAGGTTCAATCGAACCATCCTTAATACCCTCTCATTAGTGGCTTCCAGAAGCCAAAGGACTGGGACAAGAAATTACCACTGTTTTTACTGGCTTACCGCAGTGCTGTCCACGAGACTACCGGCTATTCTCCATCACAGATGCTCTTCGGTCGTGACCTTCGTCTGCCTTGTGATCTATTGTTTGGTCGCCCTCCGGATGCTCCTTCATCGTCTGAGGAATATATTCAAGATCTCCAGGCCCGGTTTGAAGTGATGCACAACTTTGCACGAGAGCGAGTCAACTTGGCGACGGAGAAGATGAAGACCCGATACGACACAAGAGCTACTGAACATCAATTCCACGAAGGAGACAAGGTGTGGTTGTGGAATCCGACTCGACGGAAAGGACTTGTCCGAAATTACAGTCACCTTG